TCAGTGACACACAACAAAAGCATGTGCCCAGAACAAAAGCAGTCAGTAACATACAACAAAAGAATGTGCCCAGAACAAAAGCAGTCAGTAACATACAACAGAAGAATGTGTGCAGAACAAAAGCAGTCAGTAAAACACAACAAAAGCATGTGCCCAGAACAAAAGCAGTCAGTGACATACAACAGAAGAATGTGTTCAGAACAAAAGCAGTCAGTAGTACATCCGTGCCTAAAGCAGTCCGTAACATACCTGTGTCTAAAGCAGTCAGTAACACACAAGAACGTGCACCAAACAAACAGCCACGTTCGGCTGAAGAAATCTACCAACCCTGATTCACACACAGCTGTGCCTGAAGTGCCAAAGTGTACATGTCATTTGTCCCCTCTGGGCAAGGTGTCTGAGAGACAGACACCTCCTCGAAGGGCACGTGCAGGACATAACGGGGTTGTATTGAAGCCTGAGAAAATCACTTTGCCTCCAGAGTGATAACATCATAGGAAAGTTTGCAAGGAAACAAACTCAGGGTATCAAGTCACCATCACTTTCATAGCCAGACTGGAGCACAGGGTCCAAGTGGTTGAATATTTCCACCACCCCTGTCTAAAATGGTCAAGCCAACTGTGCTTAAACATCTCTGACCATGGGAACCTTCAAACTTGGCTCTTCCTTTATACAGAAGGTAAAGATTCCTGTATATTAATCAATACTCTTTGATTACAGTATATATTTATGCAGGATAATCTTGGTGTGGGAAAGAGCTATGTTATGGGCTATTTGTGTAGAAGTATCCAGGTTATATAGTAATTTTTAATCCGCTAATCACACTTTAAAGTGAATGAAGCTCAGCTGCCTAAGGCTAATAAGACTGTTGCGAGGAGTGAGGTCAAAAACTGTAATCTCTTGCTATACACTTTAAATTGACAAGTTAAATCATACATCTGACCCCCCATCATGGCCTAGTTCTGTAAGAGCAATCAATTTCAAATGGATATTTTTTTTTAAGTGAGACTGCGTTTTTTAAGTGGCTACTTTTCTTTACAAGTGCTAGGCACCTTTTTTGCGAGTTTCCACTTTGATGCTTTGCACAGTAAGCCCGTCAGCTCACCTTTATTTCTAAAACTAGATGTGAACTTTTGCACAGGAAACTGGCCAAGTATACTAAGGGCCATGCACAGGCTTTCTCGTACTTACACCCTTGGTTTCTACTCAGGTGTACTTCAAAATATTAACAATGAAAAACAGATAAAATATTCTCATGTTAGAAATGCTGAACTGTCATCATAATGTCATGTCAGACTATGTCACGGCTCATAATTGCTCCTGATCAATTTCTTAACACAAGCACTTCTTAGTTGAAAAGAGCTGATACTGTCAAAACAACTTATGTTTATAAATGTTACTGCTAGTCAGCTGAATAATGACTGAACACAGAGTAGTTTGCCTATCTTTGGAAACAGTCATGGGCTTCTAAGCTGCTCCCTCTTCCCAGCAAAGATTAAATAACTTTAAAATAGCTACGGTTGTTTTATCATCTGAGCAGAGCATAAAGAGAGACACAAAGATACTTTTAACAATAATCTGATTTGTGTTTAGAAGTGTTCTAAAAATGAAACAGCATAGCAATATAGAAAGGCAAAGGTAGCTGTGGCCCAGAAGAGAAATTTTCCTCTAGGCAACCATTTAAGATACTTGGCAAGAGTGTTGGCATGAGCAGCAACAAAATGGAGCATGGAATCTTAATCGATTTGACATATGGGTCTGGATTTAGACCAATCCAGAGAAAATGTTTTAACATCTCTACTTTTTCTTCACCCACACCAGTCAGTGTCAATGGATCAGCAGTACCTTTATAAGAAAGGATGTGAATGATACTACACCAGCAACATAAACAGCTGGCTCGTGTTCATTGGATATTGTTGCTTCACTGAATCACTGAAACTTTCTTTTAGCATTTTAATCTGAGCCAGCTCTCCTAGGCAAAGACATCCCACACCTCCTGCATATCCCTGTGAGCAACCTATGGTCCTTACCCATTCCATTTACATAGTGAATTCTGCTCTTGTTTTTGAGCAAACCTGTAAGGATAGATTTAGACCTGTGCACTGCAATATGTAGAACTGGAAAAAAAGAAATTCTTATTTCAAAACCATCTAGGAGGAGGAGAGATTCTACATGTTGGACAGTGGGAATGGACACTAAGATTTAATTTTTTTTTCTTCCTGTATGGTTGTTAAATGCTTAAAATAAACTTAAGAGATTCTGTGGTTAGAGAATGATTTCTTTTTAAATCAAGATCTGTATCATTCATTCTTAAACTTAAAATTACTTGTAAAAGAACATCCATGTATGTATCTGATGACAGAATTTCTGGGCTACTTATGTAATATATGTCATGATGTCCCACAATCAACCTCATCTTGCTTTCAGAATTTGCATTTATGAAATGGTATGGAAGCTAAACCAGTTAGAATCTTGATGTCTTACTAAGAATATCAGAGAGTGAATATTTTGACTCTGCAGGTCAGCAGCTTTGTAAGCACTGAGCTTTACTTGGTGGAAACATCTGGGACTGAGTCCAGATGGCTTGCAGATGCTTGTACATCAAGTTAACACTCAATGACTTTTCACAGTAAAACTGTATCTTATGTAACTGTTTTTCAGTAATCCAGTTGTCCCAGTTTGTAATTTTCAACTAGGAAATGCTGATTCAACTTTCCAGATGCAAAAGTCTCCATTGTATTGCTATTGTCTCTAAACCCACCACTATGTTTTTCCCGTCCCTCAACCACCATTTGGAACAAAAAAATAATTTCCCAGTTTCATGGAGCAGTAACAGTTGAGACAATCACTTTATGCAGCTAAATTTATTCTCAGAACAGATTACATTTAAATGTGGAGAAGTGGCCAACAGCAGGGAAAATTGTCCTTTTCTGTGTCAGTCAGGTGCTTTATGTAAGACTGGGCTCTCCTAATAAACAGTGGATGTGTTTCCTTCTTTCTTTCTTACTGCTGTTAAAACAAACCTGCTTTGGCTGACTGTACATACAAGTTGTAGCACTGTGTTAATTAACCTGCCCAAGAAAGGAGTAATGTGGTCGATGGTAATGCTGAAATGCTGAGGCCATACTCACTGTTGAAATGAGAAAGTTCTCTTTTCCATGGGTGATACACTAACAGGTTTAGATCTCTAGGTAAATGATCTATGAAATGCTTGATACATTTAAAAGGAAAAAGATGTAGAACTCTCAATGACACAGAACTGATTAATCTATTAGATACTACATAGTTTTTGTTCCTCTGTCTCATAAGGGCATATTACTTCTCTAGGTACATGTGACTCTGCACAGGAAGTATATCACTAAAACCTCATTTTACTGTGAATGGATTCTATGCCCTTCCATGCAATTTTTGTTATTCCCATTTAACCATCCTGTAGGTGGCCTCTGTGGCCTTACATCTCTCACAGCCCCCCTTGCTCCCCTTCAAATGAAACAGTAAGTGGCTTAAAAAAAACCTTCAGCCAGCACTGCAGATTTCAAAAGAAAGGCTTTTATCTTTTAGTCATTGACTGAAAATAAATTTCCTTGCTTCTGCAAGGGAGTGTGTTAATGACATGACTGACTGACACGTGATACTCACCTCTAACTTAGTACTTGCATTGAAAAAAATGAAGAAATTAGCTTTGCTTTACATGACGTTTCTACAGACTTCAATAAAAATGTGACTACAAATAATTACAAAGCCTGCCTTTTTTAGGCAACCTATAGTATACAGAGTGGAGAATGTTACAAGAGCACGTCCGGTAAAGACAATACATCAACATAATAATGCAGGATATTTCAGTAAAAATAGAATAAATAAAATAAAAATATTTTAAGCTGTATTTAACAGGTTAAGTTAGAATATGGCATCAGACATACAAGGCATAGTGAACATGGCTGCCAGTCTACAGAATCACTAGGTATTATAAAAAATGCATAGATAACTGAAGGGTCGCTATAACATCAACTAGAACAGTGGCAGTTGCTCAAACACACACCCCCCATACATACTTTTTTGGCCATGGTAAAAAGAGCATCTGAATATACTGTTTAACAAAAGATAATGGGCTTTGCAATATTAGGCTCCAACTCTGCAAACACCTGGATGTATATTAAATCTTTTGGAGAATAAGGAGATCTACTGAAGCAAAAAGGCCACATATAGTCAGACAATCATTAAGCACACTGCTTAAGTACTTGCAAAATCAACAACATTTTGTTAACAGACACAAACCTGTTAAAACAAACACTGGTGAGTGAAATACAGCTTTTCAAATACCCTTCTATCTTCTCAGCCCTTCCTGCAATTGCACACATTGCTACTGAAAACTAACCAGATACTCATAGCCTTGACAACACTGGTGCAGAACTTCACACTGCTGCTCACTAAGTGTTGGTTTAGTTAGAGTCCAGATCTTTCCTGGGGAGAATCAGCACTGTAGAGGTGCAATGATGAAATTTAATTATACTGCTTAAAACTATTTCACTGTTGTACAACAGCTGCAAATCCCAAATCACGCTGTTCCCAGCTGGAACTTTAAAAAGACACTGTTGAAGTAATTTAAAATAAAATCTGAATCACTGGCACAATGCCAAAAAAAGAAACTTTTATCTCTTAACTTCACAAATATACCTAAAGGTAGTGTTAGCCACCACATTTTAAGGGCAGTCATCCCTGGAAGTGTTCAAGGCCAGGATGGATGGGGCTCAGCAACCCAGTCTAGTGGAAGGTGTCTTTGCCTATGGCAGGGGGGTTGGAACCAGATGATCTTTAAGGTCTCTTCCAACCCAAACAGTTTTGTGGTTCTCTGGTAGGAAGTGAGTTTTTATACTGCTCCTAGCAGAGGTGACTGGGATCAATATTAGAAACTACAGAAGCAGGTGTGCAAGCTGCCATGCCCATGCTTTGTGATCTGGCTTTGTACTCGTTAAACCACTGGTACTGATTAGGGGGAGGAGGGCAGTTGTTTGCATCCCCTCACCTGCAGCTCTCCCTGCACACTCAGCACAAGCAGCTTCTCTTCCAGCTGTACAAGCAATAGAGCTGGTGCAAAGGAGATGGCAAGAATGTGAGCCCTGAGAGGGGAAACAATTGCTTCAGTGCCTGAGGTGCAGAATCTCCTTCAGGAAGAGATCTCAGATGGGTGGAGGATCAGCTTTTCAGAGCGTATTCTAGAGAGCTAAATATAATTACCATAGTTGCATAGCTAGCCTGCACCTGACATTTGGTCATACATCATGCTGAGTTTAGTTTAATGACATTTCTGCATTTTTTCAATGCAGAAATTTCTGGAATCGTCATTCTTTTCCTGTTGTGTTCCTAAGTTACTTTGCCCAGGTGTTGTCACTAATTTCTTTAAACAAGGAAATAAAAAAGAAAATAGTTTGTTTGTAACAGTCTCTTGCATAGTAAAATAAAAAGGAGTTATTGTAAGAATAACATTGACAATGTTCCTTTATCTTTGCAGTATGACCAGATTTGCAGACTTGGGAGACACGGTTTGGAACTTATCTATAAATGGAGGGAAAACATTTTTAACACTAGTTAAAAATACTTTTAATGTTCCATGTCCAAAGTGTGTACCAATCTGCAGGTCTAGACAGAAGATGGCCAAGGGAAAGACTGAAGATGCATAACTGCATTTCAAAATTAGCCTGAGGTGCAATTTTGAGGGCAATGCTGGGCTGATTTGTGAGGGTCTGCAGGTGTGTCAATGAAAGCAATCAGATGAAGCCTTTGGAGCAAAAGCACTGAAATCATGTTGTATCACCTGAAGCACTACCCTCTTAGAAAACAACTCTCTTCTAATTTTGTTACAAGAGCATTAAAAGTAAAATAATTTCATGGAATTTTGTAAATAACAAGAAACATAACTGTTCTTTTTCTGGCATGCTAAATATTCAGCAGCAAACTCTAGGGGAAGGGGGAATTGTGCAACCAGATACGGAATTGAATGTTTCATCAAACACTTGAATGGAGAAAGTATGGAATAGTTTAGCCTCTATAACAGTTTTAAGACAATAAAATCATTATTTCTTACTTAGTCCTGATTGTTTTGAGCCCTGCATGAAACAAATGGTATTTCTGATGAATAAATGACAGATTTAGGAGAATAAATTTAACAGCCAACAGTTTCATTTGTATGTTTAAAGGTGAAAAGCTTCAGCTGATCACCCTGCAACTCAATTACTAAAACCATTTCTGGATTTTTCATCATTGATTTGGTTTTAAACACAATTCTTCTCTAAGACCACAATGTGTAACCAAAAGATGAAATAATTACACCATGATTCCAAAGCATGTCAGGGAGATGATAAAGTGGCTGCTAGACCAACGCTGACAAACAATTTAAAACTAACAGGTGTGGTTCTGTAAAAAACAAAACTTGTTATTTAATCTACAGTAATTCAATGGTAGCTAATACTTGGTACTCATTCCAGTGTTGAAAACACAGCAAAGTGCTGTAGGATTTACGATTGGTTTGTGACAAATCCAGCTCAAGAAGGTGAAATTTTAACTCAGGCATCATTCACTCCATGGGTTTTAGCATGAGTTCACTGGGAGGGACATGGCCATATTCTTTTTTTGTGTGAGTTTAGGTAATGTTCATGTATTTACAATCAAACAAACCTTCCATTGCCCATGATGTAACTCACTGACAGCAAAAAAATTATTCATGCTTCTTTTCATATCAGACGATGGTGGCAAGAACGAGAGAACATGCTTGTCTAATATTGTTTTGATAAGGGTAAATTCTCTGAAGACAAAGCATCAGCAATTGAAATGGAAGGCCAGATATCGTCAGTTCATTTTCCTTAGTGTAGCTACTGTTATCTTCAGTTAAATGTTAGAAGAATCTTCCCTCTTGCGCAGCTATGGCATCTCAGTGACCGGACGTTTCTGTTTCAAAGTGTCAATGAGAGACAACACTCCTCTTTTTACATTAGTTGTAACTCTTCTAGTCACCGAGTCTGCAGGAGGTGGGGGTGGTCGAACTTTCTGTGAAGGAGGTCTGGCTACTAAGCACTTCTGATACCGTAACTGCAACAAAACAAAACCATTCTGCAATCAATACTCTATCCAATAATTTCACAGAGCATTTCAAATACACTCTCAGTACTTTCTCATTAAATATAGCCAAACCTCTGTTTTGGCTGTGACAGAAAGCATAGCTCAAGTTAACAGGACATTGGTCTGTCAGTGTGTGGGCAGAAACTTCATTAGCACACAACAGATACTACATCATATAAACAGCCATTTGAAAACTGAAAAATAAGTTTTCTGGGTTCAGCTACTTTGGAACAGGGATTATTTTCACTATATTGCCATTGGATTGTATAACAATTGTGTAGTGAAAGAAAAAATTTCTAACTTAAAGAAAAAATTTCTAACTTACAGAGACGTTGCAAAGGTTAAGAAGGAGGATGATTAAAGGGGCATTATTCACTAAACTGGCATTTCAAACTTTAAATGTTTGGATTTTAATTGATTAAATATATAATAATACCAATTCCTATTTTTATCTGTTCATTCTTTTTCTGCCTTGAAATTAATATAATTGCAAATTTCGAAAGATGATTATTTATGGAGACAGTGAAAAATCTAAGTGCTATCAGATGCCTTTGAAGAAGGTCACTTACCATACAAGCAGCCTGAACAGCTTCTGATACGTTGCCTGCATTTGGTTCGCACCAAAAAACGTGGCACTCAAAATGCTGGTTTCCTGTATCCATAATGAAGGCGAATGTGTGAATGTCTTTGCCTACTCCCATGAAGGACAGGAACCGCACACGACACTCCACCATGACTTCCTCTTCATTCTGGTAATGAATCAAATGACCATTACTCTTGGATATTCTGTGGAGTTTCCAAGTTTGATTAAATAGGAGGATATGCTGAAATAGTATTGTAATTCCTGATTTATCTGCATATGCCCAGCGTGCTCAGGCCTGGGCTGGGTCTCCTTCTAGGCTGTCACTGGAAAACCAAGGCTTTGAACGTTAGCACAGAGCATGTTGTACATTTCACAAACTGCTCGTTTTGTGAAGAAACAAAACAACATCCCTATAACGACTCCAAAATGTGCTCCCCTATCACTGGTATGCTATAGAGATGCTGGTTTAGTAGCTCATCAAAAGACATATATAAAAGACTTTCTTCAAAAGTTTCACTGTATTACTCTCTATGGAAAATGCTCGACATTTTCCTCTGTAACAAAGATTTAAATATTACTCTTGGCTTCCATACCAAGAATAAAGTAAATATAGTTTGGAATTTAGGATTGTTACTTGAGGCTTAACCTACAACATTTTAGGCTCCAAATTCCTAGAAACTGAATTTAAGTATCTAATGAATACTTTTTATTTCTGAGAACATGCTTGGAATGGTAAAGAAAACTGAAGCTGATACAAGCAGTAAGAGCCTCTGCAGATTCTGGAAAGAAACAAAATGCAAAATAAACAAATGAATTCCAGTGTAAATTAACTCTACTAACGTTTCTGTGTTCCTGGTTTTCAACACTCATGTTAAATGTGTTTTAAACAAGACAGTCTGCCTTACTCTTTCATTGATTACTGTGACAGTAGCATCAGCAACATTCATGGTAACTGCCATCCAGTCATCTTTGCTAGAGGAAGCCATAAGACTCTCAATGGCACTATTCAGAGTATCCATTCCTAAAAGAGAAGAAAATGCAATAATGAAAAATAAAATATGTAAACAATAACAAAACTTTTTATCTTCACACTGTAGTACAGAAAACAGATTGTTCTGGGTTCCTTATTAAAATTATTCTGATAATGGAAGGAAGTATTGTGAAGTTGTATTTCTTCATCTGCAAAACCAAAACAGGTGTCTCTGGCTTATAAAAACCACAACAGCATCTTGTTTAGCTGCTGCACCATTTCAGATCTCTAGGGCCCTTCTCATTAGTAGCAGAGCTTATATTCAGAGGAAGATGTAGAAAGAAACTTCGCTTTCTTGGCAGCTCCCAAAATACCCTGGCTGCAAAACACATGTTCGTATGATGCCCTGAATATTTGATGTCTTCGTGCCTGATTCGTATGGCTGAAACACAAGAGTTGGTACCCTTCAAAAACCATGCATTTACCCTAGGCTAGCCAGAGTCCAGCCTTCAGAGCTTATGCAAGGTACTTTGGAAGACACTTAAGTGTTACATACCCACAGGTTTAGCTACAGGTAGCATGCCCAGGTACTGGACGTGGAACTTCTGTACCAGTTCTGTCTTTGGTGTTGGGAAATCTACTGCATGGGAACAAAATTCAATTTCTATTAATCAGCATTCACAGTAGGAAAAAACACTTTTATTTCATCAATAAACATAGAATAGTTTACCCAGTAATTGCACTCTGAAGGTATTGTATTGATTAAAACAGGTTTTTACTTCTAACAAGAGCAAGCCTCAATAATTTCTAAAGGAATTAGGAATAAATTTTCATCAGCTGATGTTTGGTGTACACTAAGAATAATGTCACATTATATTGCTGGCATATTAAAAACCAGAAAACATAGATGAATGGGTTTTTGAGACATACAGACCTAAGTTTCACTAAAATAACTATGTAAAATCTGGAATCTGCTTTTAATACCATCCTTGCTAATATGCTAAATACAGTCTCCAAGTAATCAATACTACTGTCTGAACACTACACATTACACAGACCATTACACAAGTTGATGTATGGATTAGAAGTAAGATATTCATTACAAACTGGTGGATCTAGAAGCACATAATGTCCTGTAAAGCTAACACAAAGTATGTTTGTTCTCCTGGAATACTTTCAAAATAGCAGCTACTAAGGTATAACTAATAAAGGCACAAAAATGCAATTTCCTTCTACAATGCATTAGAGTGTGCAGAAGACCCTTCGGCTGGACGAAAACCCACTTGCACTCCTTGCCTCAGAAATTTCTAAAATAGATGCTGAAACCTAGGAGGAGTACTCCTACGGCTCCTCTGAATCCCAGTGCTTAACTGGAATATATTCTGGTTTTAAGTGTGAGAGACTGAAATTATTAATGGCTGAGAACATTGTTAAGATCATTAAAGCTCAATCCCCACCAAACATGCCTCCTGGATTTCAAGGAACTGGACTGTGAGTTGAGCCTCCTAACTGGAACGTGAAGTAAGATAAATGTGGTGCTATTGTCTAACCACCTCAGGTTTAAGGCAAAGTAAACAAGGCTGGGAGGAGGCCATAGCCCACAGACTCATTGGCACTCTCCCACTCCAGTCTCCCACTCCCTTGAGAGACTGGACTGTTAATGCCAAGGGCTCCAACAACCAGCAGGGTGCTTTGATAACAACGTGCACAGTGGCTGCGCAGGTGCTGAAGGTGTGCACACCTGACACCTCAGGCTACAAGCTGGGTGTCAAACGAGATAAGGAAAGAGGCAAGCCCTGTGAGGCAGGGTAGTGTTTCTTTCTCCTTACACAAATGACTCAGCTGTGATAACTCCCCTCTGGGGAAGCACTGAGACATTCACACATGGCCTGGAGGTATCTCTGCTGATGGGCCATTATGGACTCAACTGTGCTGACATAACAGGCATCTGTAACATCTTAGAAGGTGTCAAAGACTCATTTAATGTCCTGTGATCCAGTTTTACATCATCAAGTGTAAAACTCCCCAGTCCACAGGCAGTATTAAGCGTTTCCCCCTGAACCCGAGAGTATATAACTCATGAAATCTTTGAGTTTTGTGGGCTGCCCCCACCGGATCAAGACCATCAGTTCCACAAGACTGTGACTGTCACTTCAGCCAACAGACATTGAAATTGCATCTACCAACTCTCATCGCTGGATCCAACGGGTGGTGACTATGTATCTTTCTACTTTTATCCTTTCCTTCTCTTACCTTTCCTTATACATTTTAAGTGTTATTTTTATGCTTTTATATTGCTATAGTACTGTATATAATACCAACATGGCTACATACATGTTTTCCTTTGCAACCAAAATAAACCCTACATATGTATATTTACAAACACTGATCGCTCAGTGTTGTTTCACTCTAATCCACCCCAAGGGACCTTTTAAGAAGAATCTGGGTTACCCTCGCCTTCTGGGGCAGGTTGTAACAGGAAGATTTGGCCAACTGCTGCAGTCTCAAGTCAGGAGGTATTTTGGTTTGAAAAGGACATTATGTCCAAATATCCCCAAAAAAGTAAGACTGGATTTGCAACACTTGCACTTCAAAATAAAAGAGGAAATGCACAAGTTGACATAATTTAGTAGAGGTCCATTACTGTCAACATAACAAGTAAAAATAATTAAAGTAAAACAGGAACAGGTTACAGTCAGATACATTAATTAAAAGACAGGCTTGCTCTCCACTCAATATGCTCCACTTTTATCCAAAGCTGCATCAGAAACAAAACTTATCTAAAACAGGACCATCCTGAGGATACTAGCTGCAACACAGTACCTTGCAGAGGAACATCAAGAGTGACATTTGTCCTGTCTTGCAATGAGCTGCAAGCCATGGCTTTAGCATTCTTCCGTTCAGCCATAATCTGAAGAAGACAGTGATAATACAACATTTTAAAAAAAAAATTTACTCCTATTACAATCCTAGTTTCTGAAATCTGAAGTAATTCAGAAGCTACATGACTAAGCAGGTTATTCTTTTTAAATAACAACTTTAATTTTCCTCCACTTTATTCACCATTCCTTTACTACATAAAGAACTTAAGTGGTGTACAAGCCTAGATGAAAGACAGATGGAGGAGGAAAAAAACTCTAGCCATTTTTCTGAACAGTAAAATTGCAGCTGGTAGGAGGAGGAGTAATATAGCAAGAAATATAAATATTTAATGCACAGAGAAAAGTATTCATTATTTAGGTTTCTCTCTGAACTATCTTCTGCTGTATATGATTTTTCCCTCCATCTTTATGTTTATTCTGGAATTAAAAATCCCATGCAAAGTACAACCTGTTCTTCCCCCAACATATATAATAGTAGCAAAAGAGGAAAAAAAAACCTACTTCAAAATAGCCATTTTGGATGGTTATTCCCTACAAATATATGACAGAGAAGGTATCCAGGGAAGCTAACAGAGGTTTTCCAAAGCTCATATATGAATCATTGCTATCTGCTTCTTTACGCTACGTCTGTTCCATTAGCTATAGTCTTAAATGTCTAGTTGTTCTTTTGTTGTTCTCTTATCCAAAATTAATGTCAGAAGTTTCATGTCGTAGTTACTTGTGTGACAGCTCTGCTCCCTTTTTGATATCCCTGTGTATAGCTACCACAGCATTTACTTGATGTTGACCTTACTGGATAAAAGCAGCTGCGTTAGGGCCTGTGTAGCATGTTTCTTCCTGCTAGACTTGCTGGAAACACCTGTGTGAATTGGAGAATTGGAGAAGAACTAGGAAGAACACAATAGGTCTAGGCTTCTCCAGTCAGCCACTGCTGCAGTCCCTGGTGTTAAACTTCACCAAGCACAGCCTGCAACTCCTTGGCCAAACCAAGCAGCTACCTGAGTGCTGCTACTGCTACTCCCTCCGGCACCCGAACCAGGACAAACGTGCCAGACTTTGCACAGTTGCTGGGCTACCTTCTGCCTCAGGCATAACTGTGCTGCCCAGAGGGCTACAGTAACACACACTGTGCAAATGCTCACCTTACTTGCATGAGATATTACTAACAAGTTCAGTACCAGATCTGTGGTGTTGCAAAAATGAAAACTTTTTAGATTATACAACTGACTATAGAGGAGGGTTTGGCATCACTGATTCCATTCACTAACATGAAGACAAAATGTAAAAAGCAAATGACAGGCATACAGCAGAATTTCAGAACTTGAAGGTTTTCTAAATAGCTTTTCTAGAAGGCTGTGACTTATGAGGAGGAACAAGTTACACAGAGATAACCAATAAAGTTATTAGTCCCCACAGCCCACTCTTCCTGTGGTGCAAACTGCCATATTTTAATGAAAACCAAAATAAGAAGCATAGTATTTTTAAAAAGGGGGATGCAGTTGCAAATCCACCACAGCTCAATAGAAGAGTAAAAGAGCTTCAAGAAGATTGGTTTAATTTCCTCTTTATAAAGCATTTCAGTCAGACTGCTTGCTGTAAAGAATGTGCTGCCTTGCTACTGCTGCATGAAATGACTGTACAGAGGACACTCATAAACAGATCATCCAAGAAAACCAAAATTAATAACCAGGAAATGGTGTCAAATCTATAAGGTAAAATGACCAAAAAGTACAGTCATCTTTCTCAAATCTAAATGCTCACCCTCCCATAATTCCTATCCGTTTGCATCCTTTCCTTTACAAATTCTCTACATCGTTCTTGTAACACTGCTGATTACATGTATGTATAAGGCTCAGGGATCTCTAAACAGACGAATGCAGCTGATTTTAAATCCACTTGCCTTTGAGCAGATTTCATGTAAACTGGTAGCGATGGCTTTTGCAGGTGTGTCACATCGAAACACATGACATTTTAGAATTCTCGTGTCTTTGTCTCTTGCCACATAAGCAAAGTCTCTGTGTAAACAAAAAAACCTGACATATTAGAAACAAGCAAAACAAACTATGGCAGTAGAATCAGTAGTATCTCCAAAACAGCAAGTCCTACTTCAATTTAACAGGTGTGTGCCTCAGCTCTCAAAGAATAAAACACAGCCTTAGACAAAGCAGATCTACAAATGTAATAAACTGCTACCATGAAACATATATATGAAGTTTGGTGCTCAATCTGTATAATTAAAAAGTTAATTACAGTTTCCTAACCATGCAACTTACTGAAGTTATAACCCATAATTCCAAATGCAATTGTAAATACATAGGAAAATTTACTCAAATATTTTACTGAAGATGAAACGGGGAGAGAATTACAAATTAAGACAGAAAACATATGCAGCTCTCAACTGGTAAAAAAGTGAGAAACTGCATACAAGATTGTAGTTAGAGAAAGACTGTATTTCAAAGGACTGTATAAAGTGTTTAAAATATGCAGATAGTAATTAGAGATCTGGTTGCATAAGGGAGATGTGAACCTGCCGAGCTTTGCTCACACTAATTGCCCTAAATTTCTGACCTTATTTTTTCAAAAGTTAAATAAAGCTGCCCTACAAAAGATATTTTTTGCACTGTACTCGCCAGTCACCACAGCAACGTACAGCTTTCTAGCATGGGTGAAGGAAGTGCCAGGACTAGGTTTATTTGTTCTCAGGCTTCTTAAGAGTTGGAGCTCTTCTGAAAAAGCTGAAGCAGTATATGCTGTCAGGAAGAAGCTTGGCTTTGCCCAGTTGCCATCCTTGTTATACCAGACTCTATGTTCACTGGACTTACATGTCTGTTTTTTCATATCCTCCAAGCAACCACAGCCCACTCCTACTTTGTGACCCTCCCGTTACCTCCAGATTTCTCTGGGACTTTTCATCCCTAGCTAAGTTATACTGAGTAGTTAACTACAATTAAATCAGACAAGCAAAGCTGGAGCTCCCAACAGCCTCTTTTGCCTGAAGTCTCTCTCTCTGAAGTCTTCAATGCCTTTCTGCTTTCCACATAAATAATTACCAGCAAGATTCTAACTGGTAAAGAGTCAGAATGGCAAAGGATACTCCTAAACCCCAGGTTTAGTATAAACTAAAGTATTTGTTTATAAAAATCTGTAAATATTCCAAGCAGGGTTTAATGTAGCATGGATGGCCAATTTCTTCATTTGAGAGGCCCAGTGAATTGAAGAATTTTATACCGAAGCTATTCAGGGAGAAAGAGACTGTGGCAGATGGATTGCTGGCCTTCCAGCTCTGTACAAGAGATGAACACTGTCCTGCAGTCAAGTACAGTACCTGTATCTAACTGAACAGCAGTAGATTTTGCCCTTAATGAGCCCTTGAAATGTAAGGGCTGCTCAGTAACAGGTACAGGTGGTTGTTCCATTTAACTGCTTTGCAACCTGGAGCCTGATGAGCAATACTTTAAGAAAACCAAATGACATAAAACTATCAGGGGATGAGATTTGGAAGCAATTCCACATGACGGAACAGTGCAGAAACACAGGGAAGATGGAGGCCCCTCTTCATCTCACTGCATGCCAACCTGTAATGGCACACACTAGGGCACAGCAGAGACAGGAGGCAGCAGGGGAGCATGTGGACTGTGTTGCCACCTGAACCCTTCCTACACAGGGAATGCAGCCCACAGGCTGTATTGGTTTTCACTGCAACACTGCCCTCCAGCACGTAAGATACAGGCACCTTGAGGAGGGATGATGGTGTTTTACCCAACTGCTTGTGACCTGCAGGAAAAATCACAAGGCAATAATCCAGGAAGGTGCTGTCTATTGCAGAAGATGCCCTGAGGTTCCTAGCTCCAGACTGACCCTCAGACCCTTGTCCACAAGAGCCTTTTGGCTCTTTTGCTGCAAGATCACAGAGGTGCTGAGTTCCAGCTGCAATCTTGCTCCTGGAAAAAGGCTGATGCTTTTGGCTCATCTGTACATGTGCCAAGTCTTGCTTTAGAATGGCCTCCTCCTAGCTTAATGTTTCAAAAGCAAATTGAAGACTCCTAGCTGGACTCTAGTAATAAGACTAAGAAAAGGGAGTATGACTTACCTATGGTTTATGAAAAATTAGCAGCTACGGGTTAAAAAATGAAACCAAGCGCCACATAAAAAACCTTTGAGAATTTTGCCTTTTGAAGTAAGCTTTCAACATTATTGGCGCTTCTCCTGAAAGACCTGCAGGGCAGGTCTCTGAAAATGCTCAGGTTCACAAAAGACCCACATAAAAAATCCTGAACTCTAAAGAAACCTTGCCTGGTTTGAGAGCTGTGAGGAATTTTCAAATATCCTACGCATTTTGAATTTTTGTTTTCTATGTGTTTGGCTTTAGCTGCCGTCTTTTAAATGTCCTAAGTTACAGACTTCACATTTTTGAGTCCAAATATCTTCCCTAACAAATATTTCAACTGCAATGCAAAAACATTATTCACTTAACAGACATGGATTTTCCACCATAACTTCATTAAGACTCCCCCCCACTTTCCATGCAAGAAAAACTTGCTGGAGGTGACCATGACTTGCAGAGTAGCAAAGACACATAGCATAAACAAGCAGACTGCTGCACACACACCTTATTATTGGATCAAGGTCTGTTCTTTCAGAGCACAGACATAACAGCTGAAACCTGTGTTCGCATTAACTTAAAACAACATCAGAAGTCATCCGTGTGACCATTAGATCGTTATTTATTACCATATAAAACCATTTATGCCAAATCAATACTATTCCTTTGAGGCCTTGTAAACAGGTGATTTATGCATCCCTTTACAAGCTGATCCTAGAAAAAGCATCTGGTGCTGTTTTGCCAAGATGCCTGCACTGCACAGAAGCCTGTTTGACTAAACAGAAATCTGCATAGCCTGAGGAGGCTATACAATACCAGGATTTCCAATTTTAAGGCCAGCACCTTCAAAGAGTTGCACACTCACAGAAGAAAACCTGCTCCTTCTGTTAGCCATACAGTTATCTGTTAGAACCTTATTTTACTGTTAAGAAAAGCTAAGGTGGGACAAAGCCACCAAAGCAAATCATTAGGGCTTAGAGGACATAACACATTGTCAGCAAAATCCATTTGAAACAGCCAAACAAATTGTGGCCCAACCTCTGATCAGTAGTTCTGGCAATGCGCTGGCACACCATAACTTCACAACTTTCTCAATAAACTACCATGCTGTGGGAGTTCACATCAGGATGGGCATCTCCACTGTGCTGCCAAATCCCTCCCTACTACACTGGACAACCACTGGGGCCACAGTAAATCTCACCTTGTAGAGAGTTTATCTGAGATCCAAGCTCTACTGCAAGATTTTCAGTCTTATCTGTAAGATAATACTAAATGTGTTTAGTCAGCACATTACCTCCCAGTGGAGGTAGGACTCAAAGGACTGCAGAGATAAAAATGAGTCAAATAATTAAAAGTCTGTTAAACTAAAAGACTGAATTCTGTTAGGATCAAAGATCCTGGTTGTAAAGGAACATAGCTCATAATTATATCCCATAAGTGGGAAACATCTTTGGTAAAAGTATTTTCAACAGCATTTTAAAGGCAGAGAGAGGTGGACTGGGGGCAACCCGCTGAGCCTCGAGTTTTTCTTTCAAGTCTAAATTTACTTCTCTGATCAAAGGAGACCAATGTGGAGGGCACCATGAGCAGTAATGAGCTTGCATGCTTTTGGGTAAGAACATTTCTCCTGGAAGGCTAATGACAGCCAAATGAACGAGCCACATGCAGAGCCCAGCTCAGTGACCATTCTGACCACAGGTAAGACCTGTGGCAAGGGCACAGAGGAGTCTGATGAGTGTTATGGATGTGGTATTTGTAGTGGGACACTGCAGGTGTGCCACTTAAGTCCTTACACAACTGGCTCAGGCATAAACCCCTCTACCCTGCTCCCGAGGAGGTATTGGACATTCACATGCAGGCCTGGAGGTATTCATCCCTTCTGATGGGGCAAAATGGGCTCTGGTGTGAGAAACATCGGTCATGTCTTAGAAGGTGTCACAAATCAAAAACCCTCAAAAGTGACTGATTTCTGGGGCCTTCCACCAGAGGACTGGACGTGATCCAGTGTTACATCAAACAGTGTAAAACTACCTGGGAGTTCCCACCTGAACCTGAATGCCTATTAACCCATTGAACTTTATGTTTGTGAGCTTCCCCCATCCCTGATGAATCAAGATGTGACCATCACTTTGATCAATGGACATCATAATTGCCTCAATATTGCAGTGCTGCACATAACGCTGCTGTAGAGCCTCTCTGGCACTTGGTCCTGCACCTTCTGTAAATATTTCTGCTTGTAAGGGTATGCAATCATAAAAAAGGCTGTATAGCACAATTACAGAAGAAAATGACATGCCAGCCAATACATCAGTTTCAAGTACTGAGAGCAAATAAAACCCTTGTGGTGCTGTTTCAGACTCACACACCAGTGTTTCATTTTAAGTACCTGAACACCTTGAACAAAGTAAATCAGCTAATTACACTCATGGATTATGACTATACATAAACCTTAAGATGATCAGGGCCTGCATCTGTATGAAATGTGAGTTCTTCAAAACCTGTGGTACTGCATCATGTACAACCCTGCTAGCAACATCTGTTTTCAAATCATCAATCAAAATTAGCCCACAAACAGTCCTTCCCCCTTCTAACAGTGCACAAACAGTACTACTGATTTCATTAATTCATGGAAGTCACCTCGATGCCTGTGCACTCGCACAGGCCCTACATGGCACCCCAGAAGCCAAGACCTGGAGACGGAGGTATGGGCTGGTGCCAGTTGGCTCCTCCACTGCCAGTGGAAGCCCTGCAACATTGCTTCAGCCCTTTCTAGGCATTTGGAAAACCGACTTCCGCACTCCCTCATGGAAAAAAAGGTATGGCTTTGGAGATTTCAGCGTATCTGCTTCCTGCAGCAATAATAACAAACTTAGGACCACAATGGAACAGCTTCTTGTTTGTCCAAAGCCTTGA